GCACATCAACATTTTTTGTTTCTATGTTTAATTATGCATAAAGGGAACTCTATCATCCCCATAAGAACATTATTTAAATTATTAATTTTACCATGCCTAGTTCTCTACTATGAGGGAAATGCCTATGCGATGATTCAAATTTTTATCTTTGCTTGGATGTGCTTAATGGGGACTGCAGGAAATCAAAAAATTTAAATATAAAACTTTAACACATTATGTTTAAGGGGTAAGGTTTTAGGAAACTTTTTTTAGAGGCGCAGATTTTGTTTTTTGATTTTAATTATTCATAACTCGAAAACCATTTTCATCCATTTAGCCATTTAACCAACTATGCTAATAAGCGAGATCTCTGTACTTCACACGAAATTTGATACAACCCGTATAATCGTATAAGCATGACTAAAAGTAGATTATTAATTTTGCCCATAAATGGCCAATTATGTGAAAATCGGTTAACTGAAAACCGAAGTTACATTCAAGAGGTGCTCTCTTTCTCTCATCCCTCATACCTTATGAACTAGAGCAATATGTGCTGCATCAAAATGAAGCAAACTTCATACAAGATTACGATGCCTGTACTTTTTATACATTTGAGGAAAAAAATCATTTTTCTATTTACCCATAAATCGTACGCACTCTAATAGTGGCAAACTTAGAAAATGAAAAATTATTTCCAGCGATGTCTCTTGGCCTCTTTTGTTAAAAAATTTTTTTCCCCAAGCTGTGCAATTAACGGTTCTATAGTTATGGCCTGTGACCTTTTTTTTTAATATGGGCATCCTGTACAATAGAAACTAGATACCTACTATCTAAAGCTATAAAAATTTAAACCCTTGCAACTGTTTAGTCATGACGTGACTTTTGTAGTCTTCAATAACGAGTCTAGTCACCACCCCATGTACATAATTTTATTATAAAGATCTAACTTCTATCAATGTATTAGTTATGAATTTTCCCATGAAAAGTATCTTCTAGGGTGCAACTTTTGTGGCGCATCAAAAAATGTATATTTCTTGGAACCATGTAACTCCCTATTACTGTAATATAAAAATATAACCATTATTGGTTATTAAATTGTGGAGCTTTTGATAAAAATTCTAACTTTTTCTTCTGCGAGGGTATCTCTTTGTGTAGTAAGCTTTGTAGAGAGTGGAGTTTTAAAATTACGAGTGTCGCGATGAATATTCTCACGATAATTTTTTATTATTAGGAATATTGGGTATAAAAATATAGCCCCAATTTTCCATAATTTTTAGGGAAATACCTTACGTATATATTATAGGCATTTAAAAATTGCAAGTTGTGGCACTTTAGGTCAACTTGTTTGGCAAAACCTGATTTCAAATTTAATGAATTTTAAGCGCGAACTCTGTCAACTATTTTGCAATAGATACTAGATGTGTATTTAACAAAACGTCAAATTAGTTATGCATTTTTTCATTGGCGGTATAAATTTATGCGGATATAGTACGAGAAGACACCAATGTTTTACCAGTGCTTATTTATTTACGTGAAATTTAATACAAAAATCTGTTGTAAAGGCCGTTGTTGTAGTTTCCGTAGTATCCATACCCATAGCCTTGGCGATAGCCGTAAGGAGCGTAACCGTAGTATCCAGAGTAAGCGTAGGGATAAGACCCGTAGAAGAACTGCGGGTTGGCTTCGGGTTTCGGCTCAGGATCTGCCATCGCAACGGCGAAAAGGGCAAGTACGACAATGAGCTGTAACATGACTCGAGTGATTAACAATAAAATTATAATTACGCACTTACAAGCTTGAACATCGTGGTCGGGTTAGTTGATTGCTTGCTGAAGACAAACTACAAATCCTCAATTCGAGCGTTCGGCTTATATACAAAGTTGAGTGCATTGTTTACGAGGGTGACCACTGACCACTGATCCAGTTCACCTTCTGAACGATATTTTTCTACAAATGTGGTCCTGACAATGAACGTGGCGGTTTCCCTACAACCGGAATTATAAATAATTGACATTTAAGTTTTTAGTATAACTATAGATATCCTCGTGGCAAACAAAAATGAGTCATGGAAAAAAAGTTGTCTTTGTCAATTTTTCACTGCAGTACCTACTTCACAAAACTTTCTTAAAGAGGCATTTTTATTCACAAGAACTTATACTTGGCTAATTAAATTTATTAACAATACGTGCCTGTTGACAAGAATCCCACGTTTCTATTTTAGTGAGCCAAAAAGTGGTAGTCCAAGAATCAATCGAGCAATTGAATAATCGTGTCGTATGTAACTATGTCCACATTTTTGTGACGATATGTAAACTAAAAAATTAAAAAAACTTATCGTCTGATATTTCATATACACAGTTGATCGTAATCTGCACGCAGCACTCAAAGAGATCGTTTAGTGTGTATTACGACAAAGGATGAAATTTTCCTCTTTTAACTCTTGTGAGACCGATGTAAGGCTAGATTTACATTATTTTTGTGAAAATTGAATACGTTTCGAAAAATATGTATTTTTTCCAGTCGAGTTTAGGCCGAGGTTTAGGCCTTTTGATCTGTATCAATTTCGGCAGCTTTTGTGCGGCATTAATTCAGTTGTGAACATTTTTTATACCCGCCACTAATTCCCGAGAAAATCGAATATTTCCCCTATCCCCATTTACTCTAAAATGACATAAACGAGCAAAATGTTTAAAAAAAAGGAAAAGAGTGACACATTTTTCATACTTTCAAAACTAATTTGCGGCAAATTGGTGATGAATTGGGGTCCGTTAACCTAGCACCATCATTTTAAATTTCCGGCTAAAGAAAGATTGCGCTAGAATCTGTATGGCTAGCGCCACTTTAAGTTCGGCTAGCGCAATTATAGATTTTACAAAAAAGCCCTTAAATTTCGGGGCGCTAGTCATTGCGTCTGATCACTTCCAAAAGCAAGCGCTGTGTTCGTCAGATTTAGCGCCACAAATTGTAGAGCTAACGCCACCCCCCAATAGTGTGGGGGGCAATTTTTCCTAGCACCACCATTTTGTCCTTTCGGGTAAAACTTACGTTTTGTGTTCTGCTGACCTAGCGCCAGCTAGTGCCACTTTGTGTTCAGCTTAAAATTTTCAACGGTGTTGCTAGCTGGAGGAGGTACCATTAACCCAGTACTTTTATACTCAAACATCAATCCAAAATGTGGCGCTAAGTCACAAAGCTAGGAAAAACTGTTAACTGTCAATTCTTAACATTTTCCGCCCACAAACATGAAAGAGAGGGTTGCATATGTGCAATCCATTTTTGACGTGCTACTTTCAATTTCAATTTATAAGAAGAATTTCATTTCAATGCTTTCATAAATAAGAAAGTTGGCACTGCTCATGCGCAAACCTAAATTTTGAAACTGACGTTAGATTTTCCTTTATTCCAAGTGCCAATGTATCAAATTTCATTTAAATTACTTTTATAAATAAAAAAGTTTGGAATTCGGTTTATAAATGGTCGAGATTCGAAAAGGGCACTGTGAATTTTGAATCAATTCGACTCAACTTTTGGCATTGCGCATTATATGGTTGAAGCTATGCTCATATTGAATTTCATGCAATTCAGTTCATAACTAACGGAGATGTCAAAGCGATCGGACATTTCTAAACAAAGTTATCGTTCACACGGGCAGATAGAGGGACAGACAGACAAAGGAACAGACCGACAGACCAACAGACAGACGACAGACAGCAATACGAAATTATAAACGATCTCTAGGATCGTTAATGAACGGCAAAAGTGTAGAATTATGGCACATGTAAAAATGGCTTTTTGGTTTTTTTACAATAACTTTTTTAGCAATAAACGCAGAAAAACTTCCTTCCTTGGTGCAAGCCTCGACACCATAACGAACCAAATGGCGAAAAAAGTAGAACAATAGCTCTTAAGATAAAGAACAAGTAGCGTCTCAACGGATGAACTGACGGATAGATGGACGGACAAAGTGGCCACAATAGCGCATATTTTTTATTTGTGTGGAAATGCGCTAAAAAGGATTTAAAATGGTGGTGCTAAGTTAACGGACCCTATATTACTTGTGAACTCTAGAAGTTTTGATAGAGTATATCATACTGGTATCCTTGTAATACTAAGATTTATGGGAACTATTCGATAACATTGAGTTCAAACTTCCTTAGCAATATCAAACTCCATTGCCGTTATAGCAAGAGTCTCAGTGCTTGGGCCTTTACTATATATTATATTATATTAACGGACTTACGCACCAATGGTAACATATACACTTCTAATTCTCACACTTGTTTGGAATATTGCATTTATTACATGTACGCGGATGACACGCAATTATCATATCAAATTCCGACTAAAAATACAATACACTAAACACTCAACTCAACTGTAGGTATAATATAGTGAAGATTTCTGAAGAAGAAGTGGGCCAGTTTTACTATAGGCGTCGGCGAATACAAAAATCTTGGTTTTATTTTTAAACCCCAATTGCGCTTTAGAAAGCACAAATCTCAAATAATTAAAAAAGCGTTTACAAAAATCATAAGCTAATATTTAGTAGCCGATTTGTTATTAATCATAGTATTAAAGGTATGATTTGTGAATCCTTAGTGTTTTCCAAATTTAACTATTGCGATAGTTTATGGCGCCCATGCATCGACTAAAGAAACTACAATCGAATTAAGAGAATGCAGAGCTAATGCAGACTAATATTCGCCCCATTGAGTCATAAGTGTAATATCTGTTTTTTCTGTAGTCCCAATGAATGTCATTATTATATTACGAATTTTAAATATGTGCGTTAATAAACACACAACCTTCCACCTGAGCAATAATGGCCCACCCTGTATTGAAATGGTGGAAAATGTGCAATTTCAATTTCTGCCTTATTTTAATTTTGGTATAAAATGGGCTTTCTAGCTGAAAACTTTTTTGGGGTTTCCCATAAATTGATTATTATTATTAATGTTGCACTTCTCGAAAATTGAAGGCTTTAGTAGCACTATGCGCGAGGGGTACAACAGAAGACGCTGTAATTTACAATCATTTATTCAGAAAAAATTTAATACAAGAATCTGTTGTAAAGGCCGTTGTTGTAGTAGTTTCCGTAGTAGCCATAACCATAGGGAGCATAGCCGTAGTATCCAGAGTAGGCGTAGGGATAAGCGTTGTACGCGCCGTAGAAGAATTGCGGCTTGGCTTCCGGTTTCGGCTCGGGATCTGCCATGGCAACGGCGAAAAGGGCCAGAACGACAACGAGCTGTAAAGTTATAAGTAAATGACAAAAGTAAAGTTATCGGTATGACTTACGAGCTTGAACATTTTTATCGGTTTAGGTGATTGCTTGCTTTGTAACAAAACTGCGAATTCTGACTCGCGTTTAGTCAGTTTATATACAAAATTGCGCTGATTGCGAGGGCGATCGCTGATCCAGTTAACCTTCTCCTTGTCATTTTTGTATATTTTTTTTAAGAATGCGGTATCCGCGTCTAGCGGGTTAATGTACGTTTTGGCATTTGTACAACTGGTACAGATAATCATTTATTTAGTTTATTAGTGGATTATTGGCAATGACCTTTAGAGCCTTGTACAGTGGACGAAATAAATTACAAAACCTTGTTGGCGATTTAACTCCTACTGTAGACAAAAAAAAAATATGTTTGAGGTGGTATACAAGTGCATTTGAAGTATAATACGCCAAAATTACAATTAGTATTTCATTAGAAATTTTATTTGCGAATACATGTTTTAAGTACCTTTTTGGTCTTTATCCTCAGACAGCAATGTGCAGCATTATTTTACCATTTTTGCAGTGTACTCTTTACTTTCATTCATTCATCGGTTAGGTAATACCTTACATCTGTGGTAATGCCCACCAACTTTCGACTAATTTTCGATTGACAGTGAAAGAAATTGCGTATTCTGTCTGAAGTTTTCCTTCCCCTTGGTATACGATTTATATTTAAAAACACAACTTTAACATTTAACAACGTTCAATAGGGTCTGTACTACCCTTTAAACAGTGGTGCAAAATGCCATTTTATACTAATAAATTGCCTAAATGGGAGCCAATGTTATATTTCAAAGAAAATTTCGATTTCTCACAAGAAAATAAGATAAATTAATGTTGCAAAAGCGAAAAGTGGATGTCCAATTTTTTTAGAATTTCTGTTAAAACTCCTTTTTTGTTGTTGAAAATTAGCATTTTCAGAGATTTATAATGTCTGCTCTAAAAGGTTTTTAATGTCATCATTTTGATCGCAATAGTTAATCATCCACCCCGGTCATAGACTGCATTTTTACACAAATTGTACAAAAAATCGCAGTGAGAAGGTGAACTAGATTAGTGACCGCCCTTTAAAATCAATGCACACGACTTTGTATATAAACTGACGACGCGAAGGTAGAATTCGTAGTTTGTCGCAAACAAGCAATCATCTAAACCGATCAATATGTTCAAGTTTGTAAGTAAATGATGCCAGTATTTTGCTTTTAGTTAATTGGATAATTGTTTTGCAGCTAATTGTCGTTCTCGCTCTTTTCGCCGTTGCCATGGCAGATCCCGAGCCGAAACCGGAAGCCAAGCCGCAATTCTTCTACGGTGCATACAACGCTTATCCCTATGCCTACTCTGGATACTACGGCTACGCTCCTTATGGCTATGGCTACGGATACTACGGAAACCACTACAACGGCCTTTACAACAGATTCTTGTATTAAATTGCATTTGAATAAATAAACACCTTCAAATCGTATCATTTGGATTCTGTTATTTGATTTTAAAAGTTCATTCTGCATATTATTTTGAATCGCATTGGTCATAGGTGCCAACACACGGGTCAAAAAGTTCCGGGACTAACCAATAAAAATACAATGCGCAAAATTCTAATTTATTCATCCTCTACATCAGTGATACAATCACTCCAATGATTCTCTAACATTTCTATGCCTTTCTTGTCGAACGATTTACCTTTTACCTCACATAGGCGTGAGTTTCTGAGCCAAATTTCTTTCCCTGGAGTATCTTTTTCAAATCAGGGAAAGGCTATCTGGAGAATAGCGTGGGTGCGGTCAGAGCTGGGTAAAGCCCTCTTGAAAAGGGCTTGAAGCACTAAGCACCGAGCACTTTGTTTTGATAAAAGTGCTTGCAAGCCCTAAGCACTTTTATGTGATTAAAGAGCTTGGAATTACCAAGCACTTTCTAAAGTAATTGAAAATACAAAGCACCAAGCCCTTGGAAAGTGCTTGAATCACAGTAATTGACAATATAAATTAATATAAATATAAACAATATAAAGCACCTTTCATATTACTGGAAACCAGGGTTTCTAGTCTATAACTTTTGATTGAGACGTCTGATCGAAAAAGTACGAATTGATTTGGATTCTACGCACCCAAATTAATAAGAAAAAGTGTTTTCCCGAGAAATTTTGGTGTAGTCGATTTTTGGTAAAAAAGGAAGGTTATACACTGCCTTTTTTTGAGGCCCGAAAAAAAAATTGTCTCAGATCGACCCGGAAAAAAATTTTCTTATAGAATCCATAATTTCAAACAGTTCCAAGATTGGGCTACTAGTTCAAAAGTTACAGCCCTTTGAATTTTTTTCAAAATTGGTTTCTAGCCTGCTGGAAACACTTTAAAAAACACGCTAGAAACAGTACTTCCGCATCGTAATTATACTGGAGGAATTAGTGGTTTTATCGCTAAAGTTTTGCTTGTCCAAATTTTCGTTTAAAACGATTAGGTAAACAAAAAAATGTTGTTATCGGTACAGTACTCTCCCCGTAGCCATGAGTAACGACTAATGTAGAAGTAATAACTGCATGTGCTATAAAAGAAGGTACTACAAGAAAAAAATCCAAAATGTTGCTCGAAAATTCCTTGACACTTGTTACTTATAAGTACCTACCGAGACGTATCTTCTGAAATAATTGAAATTAGTGATAGTATGTTACGTGAAGAAATGCACAGAGAAAATTTGTAAACTTTTAGTATGTAGGTAATAATTCTTAATTACAAATATAAAAGGACAATAAAAGATAACAATTCCTTATAAGCAAAGTAATACAGATATAAGGGTTAAGACTTAATTAAAAAAATAACTTGCAAACCAAAATTAAACTTCTACTATTCTTGGCATTTACTATTTTGGCGGTTTGATGTTATTTTCTGGCCTTTTATAAAAATGTTTAATTTAGTGGCAAGTGCGTGGTAATTGATTAGGTACTTTTTTTGCCCTTCAGGTAATGTATTTTATGTGTTATATACGCGGCAGTAAATTATCTGATTATACCTATCGTAATAACTATAACAAAACTTAACGTATGCCGGGATGCCCTGAATATGATAGGGCAGCGTTAATAAATGGCAGAACTATTACCTCTTCCTTTTTTTGTTCACGAAATCGTACGACCCCTTTCACAGGAAACCACACAATACGAAAAACAAGAAGTCAAAAGTGAGGATGTGCAGACTGCAGACTAACCACTAATGAAGCACAGAACACGTAGGTAACGTCAGAGTAGGAGTGAAGGAATGAGTAAGACTAAGGGTTTTCTAAATTCGTCACCTAATTCACGATAAGAGCTTCGTTATGAAAGTGCTTGAAGCCCTTAAAAAGTGCTTGAAGTTCTTTGAAAGTGCTTTAAGCTCTTTGAAAATGCTTGAAGCTCTTTATAAGTGCTTGAAGCTCTTTATAAGTGCTTGAAGCCCTTGATAAGTGCTTGAAGCTCTTTAGAAGTGCTCGAAATTGTATGAAAGTGCTTCAAGCAGTTCAATAGGGCTTGAAGCTCCAAGCACTTTTAAAAAGTGCTTGGTAATTGAAGCACTTTTTCTTGAATTAGAAGAGTAATTGAAGCACAGAGCTCTAAGCACTAAAAGTAATTGAAGTCCTTTAGTAAGCACTTTTTTTCAAAGCACTACCCAGCTCTGGGTGCGGTAACAATTCCAAGCGTAAATCGTTGATTTTTGCCATGGTTTTTACCAACTTGTTGTTTTTGTTCCACTGTGAGCAAACGCGGCACCCATTTAGAAAATAGAATAGAAGAAAGTGGCGTTTTTCAACTCGAGTTCAAAGTTTGACACATGCGCGTAGTTTTACACCTAATTTTTTTCTGAAACCACAATCAAAATTGACAAATTACCGTATGCCATAATTAAATTGGACACATAGCAATCTAGATACGGGTATGCTTCAATTTGAAATGTCATTATTAAGATTAACGCAGCAATTGTTTTTTACTTTCCACACTACAGAGGAAAATCACACTTTCTTCGTCCTTTTTAGAGACGAAAGTAGTTGTTTCTAAAGTAGTTTCAGAAACAAGATAACAATTTTCGACACTTTTTTGTTGTTTTCTGGCGTAGTCTGGCCATTAATATTATTTAAAGCATTTTCTATGCTGTTCTTTAGATGCTGTAAATCTGGATACACATTATTGTAAACTTTATCCTTTAAATAGCCCCCTAAAAAAATCTAATGGATATAAGTCCGGCAACCCGACGGGCCATGAAATAGGGCCGTTAGTACCAATCCACTGATTCGGGAACATATCGTGTAAGTATTGCGTTACCTTTGCGCATTATGGGCAGGTGCACCGTCTTGCTGACAATATAAAGCTAACGCGTCTCTTAAAAATACCGGCATTTTTTCTTGCTAAAATGTACACTTCTTACATATCCACTTTTTCATTATTAGTAAAATAATGCATTTTTCTATTAAAATGAGCTTATTCAGTATTCGCACAACAATAATAATTCAATAATAGCCGCTGACAGTTGTTAACAACATAAGTAGTGCTATTGATGGTATAATGCTATTGTTTCGCTCGATCACAGCACTCTAATCTGAATTAATATTCAACTTGTTTTGTCCATGGCACACTCATTTTTGCTATAATGAAATAAATATAACCATGCATTTTTCTTATAAAAATTGTTGTCTAAGGGTATACTAATATTATATCGTTTAAAACTGTCGACAGTACTTTGGGATCACTCGGTATTATATAGTTGAATTTAGAATAAAATTTTCGATTGACTAAGGAAATAAAAAGTATAGTTTCCAATTAAAAACACAGTTGGCATCCACAGTTGAAGAATTTTTTTCCGTATTTGTAAAATAGAAATTGTTTGCTAATTAAACCGACCTCTTAGCTCTTATAGTTCTAGAGATAGCAATAGTGGGCAAACAAAATGAATAATTAATTATAGTTGTCGCCAATATGATCAAAGGTGAGATTAAAATCTTTCCTATGGTAAATATTAGAAGTTCTCAGCGACAAAAGGAGTTTTATAAGAAGACTTGTTTGTAGTAACCGCAAAAGCATCTTTTGTTACTTATTTTATTTGTGGGTCAAAAATAACTTTCAAATCTATAGATTTTATTCAATGCCCTTCTTAGAATAAATGCACGCGGTAGTAACCTACCAATTTTTTTTTCAATCAAGGTATTTTATTCCTTACTTACCATGGAAAAATTACACACCAGTCAAGTTTATTCAACTTTTTTTTTCTCATTTACAGACCTAATTGAAAACTTTTGCCTTAAAAAATTACCCGCGCCCCATTCCACTAAATTTCACTTGAAACATAAATCGATCCTTTGCCTTACAAAAAATGCACGCGACTGCTCTACTATATCAAATTTAATATTGTAATATGTACGTTTTCATCCGTTTACTTACCATAGTAAAGGTTAAATGGCATTCAAATTTATTAAATTTTCCTTTAAAATTACAGACCTAATTGAAAACTTTTGCCTTAAAAAAATTACACGCGGTTCAAGTCTACGAAGTTTTACTTTAAACTTGTTTCAATACTTGAATCCACACTTCGGTATCATGTTAAATTTCATTTTAAACACTGCGTTTTTTTCCTTTCATTAATTAAGAAAGGTTACACGCCACTCGCGTTTATTAAAGTTTCCTTTAAATTTACAGACCTAATCCAAAATTTCTCTTTAAAAATGTCCAAGCGGATCATTTGTCTTACAAAAAGTTTACACGTCAGTAGCTATAGTCCAGTCAGTAGGGATTTTTGCTCTACGATAGGTGGTGTAGCAGTAATTTTTATTATGTTGTTGAGGTGTGGGCCTTGAACCAAAAACCATGTCTTCGACGTTGGGCGAGGACCGCTCGGGCCGCCTTCTTAGATGACACTTACCAAAAATCTGTTTTATTTAATTTACTTTCAATAAGGAGCATCTGTGCCAACATACCTAACAAAGACAGAGATTTATATAGAGAAAAAAGATCCCTATCAAATGAGCCTAATGTAAAGGTGAACTGCCATTTAAAAAAATTCAATTGTTTTTCGTTACTCATTTGTTTTCTGAAATAAAAACAACTGAATGCTGCCTTATTATGGGAAATATATAATAATATTTACCGAGATATATACATTGTTACATTCCATACATAATGGACACCCTGGATATGTTGGCACAGATTTAATGGCTGGCCGCTGTATCTATGGGATATATGTGATCTAAGGTTTTTTTCAAAATAACGCTGCAGTTGATTGTACGAAAAAAAAGGTTCAAATAAAAGATAAAGAAGACAAAATCACCCACTTTATTTTAAATAAACTTTTATTGCACTTCTAATATTTCCAAGTCACAGCGACGGAAACATTTTCCCCCAAAAAGTTGTAAACTCCCACTTTTTGTCATTTTTTTCGAATTTCACCGCCATTCCGCCATTGTTTGGGTAGTGGCGTTCTCATGCCCCCACAGAAGTAGTCATAAATGCATCTTTCAGTGAAATTCCGGCCTTCGAAGTCAAGACAAATCCTTAAATTGTATTGTCACTGGAATTACATTCTATTTTATCCCTAATACAAATTTCTTTGGGCAAACTGTGCTTTTGCAAAAATCTGTTTAACTTCTCAAAGTAAAAAAAAACCTTGATTTCCCTCGGTAATTAGATACTCAGTTGATTATTTTAATGAAAAAATCAAAAGTATTTGCAGGGAGCAGGGCCGTAGCCAGATTAGTTACTAAGAGCGGGCAAATACATCTACAGAGCGGTCAGGCGAAATATTAAAAATTTGCTGTGTTCTGCTGAAGGAATTCTGAAGGGTTTTCTTGGGAAATTCAATTGCGCAATGCCCAAGAAGTGGTCCATGTGTATGTTTGTTCACAAAAAAATCGTTATTTATGTATCGATTTTCTTGAGAAGAAGAACTCTGGTTTTCGCTATCGAGAATTAATTTTAGTATCCATCACTTTATTGCCCAATATCGATGTAAATCCTTATTTATGCACCAATTCTTTTGGGAAAAAGACCAAACTCGATTGCTCGATGCTCAAGAAATGTGTGTATCGTATCGACTTAAAAAGTTGGAGGTCATTTGTAGATCTCCTCGGATCTCTCTTATGCCTATACTACGTATTGCAAGTGATAAAAAAGATAATAAAATGATAATAATTCAGGGTGAGTTTTTTTCCACTGTCACTCTGGGGATCTCGTAAACCGTACAAGATGCAAAGTCGCTTAAATGTGTAAAGTTCCCCACACTTTCATGCTGAGTAATTGTCCCTTTCAAAATTGCTTGTAGCTCTACAAATAGCGAAATTCTGGACAAAAAACTGAAAAACGTCGTTTTCGAAGAAGCGCTGGCGTTATTTAATAATAGAAACAGTATTAAATCCATCTTTCAACCTAAAACATCTTCTTAATTAATATCGACACTTAAAATGGTTGAAGTGGTCTCTTGTTTTGTTAATTTTTTTAAGAAATTTTGATTATTTATGAGCATGCTAAATATTGGTTTATTTTAAGCAAATTTTAAGAGCGGGCAAAGTGGCCCTGGCTACGGCCCTGGCAGGGAGGGAAAGTGACACTTGCTAGCCGGGAAAGGTGAATAGTTATTTGTACAACTAGTTCTCAAAACGTATTGTACAATTTTTTTGCACATTGATCCTTAATATCCTATACCTATACTTGAATAATACAATCGATATTCCCGATTTACTGTTAATCAAAAATTGATGCTATTAATCAGTCGCTTCGCGATCACTTTGGAGATTAGAAATTCAGATATTACTAGAACCGATTGCGAGTAAACATTTTTTCCGTGCATTTACTTTAGAAAAATTACACGCCACTCAAGTTTATTGAATTTTCCTTTAAATTTATAGACCTAATTCAAGACTTTTGCTTTTAAAAAGTTCAGGAAAAAGTTACACACCACTCAAGTCTACTAAATCTTACTTCAAACATAATTCAACCCTTTGTCTTACAAAAAGCCCACACATCAGTATCATATTAAATTTCATTTTACATATTTTCCTTTATATCTAGAGTAATTTGAACCATAAGTTATTCAATGGTTGAACTGAAAATGAACATTACGGTACGTTAAAATGTTGATTGTTTCTGTTCGCTTGCAATAGGGAAACTAAAATTCTTGCAAATCTCCGTTACCCTTTATAGCACAATCTCGAATTCTAATTATGCATATAATTCGAACCTGGCCAACACCTTAGCGGCCTTCGCTCTAAAAACAAATATGTCATTATGTAGGTGACACTTTTTATGGTTGTTTAATTTTTTCTTCATTTTGAATTATACAATATCTAATGATTATAACACATGCTTGATTAATTAATTCAATGTTTATCACTTCGTTGCATAATTCCCCACTTATGTAAATGTATTCATTACACGTGAAGCTGATAGTTTTGATGTCTAAAATAATTTCCTTAAATAAGGTATGTACAAGATAAGGTGATAAGGGGACGTGTAAATTTCATTAATGCAAACATGGTTGATCCTTGTAATGTGGTTTGTAAGTTTCTTGTTCACTTGATTTCGACCTGGGTTAAGACGAATTATCAAAGAAGTTGTTCTAATCACAGACACCTTGTCCTTGTTAGGGTGATTCGGATCCTCTTTTGCTGTAACATTTGAATCCGCGTTTCGATCATCAAATCCTTTCTAGCTTTGCTATCAATTGCCAAAAAAGCAATGTGTAGGCATATACCATTAAGCAGTCTTTCGTTGGGAAACCTTTCTCGTGAACTACACCATGAACCGTACCCAAAATGTGTACTACAACTGAGTGTAGGTTTATGGTATAAGATATTCCAACAAAAAAATAACAACATTGACCCAAATGTCAAAGGGTGTTCATTTAAAGTTGTAGAGATTTGTTGCCCTGTAGAAAAAAACTTGCCCGATTAATCTTTTGCTTAAACTGGAAAACAAAGAATCCTTTGCATCAAACATAAACGTTTTAGGGTCTAATTTAGGCGTGGTTCTAATTAACAATTCCACCTTCTGTTTAGAGTTATGCCTACAGAAAGACAGGTATCATTTTAGGAAGTAAATATGTTCGAATACAGTTCGAAAATAAAAAGAAAAGAGAGCTTTGGTAAATTTGTTGTTTGAAGTCGTCTTTCCAATGCAACCTACAACTTCCATTGGAAAACATCCCCTATTTCTCTAATTACTTACTAATAAAGCTACAGCGAAAACACAAAACATTTATTTGAAATAAGAGCTTGTGTAAACGACTACGATAAAACAGGATCGTTGATTAATTAGCCGTATCAAGTTTGTTAATGCTAATTTTCTATTGTTTATGTATCGAAGGTAAACGGGTGTGTATATCATTTCGGCGAGAAGGTATAAAATGCGATCGAATTAGATCAACTGGCATAGTTTACTTTGAAAGCAAACGAAACTAGCCAAAATGTTCAAATACGTAAGTACCTCAATAGTCTTCTTATATTTATTTTAAATAATAACGCACTTAGGTCTTATTATTGGTCGCCCTCTTCGCCATCAGCATGGCTGAACCCGAACCAGAAGCGAAACCTGTGTACTATGGTGCCTACCCATACTCTTTGGGATACAGCGCGTACAGCGGCTATGCTGGTTATCCTTATGGAGCTTACTCTGCTTATCCATACGGAAGATACTTCTACTAAATTTCAATAGTAAACTTTAAAATTGTTTGTCGCCTTTTGTAAAAAATTTCCGCACTGAATAAATCTTTCTTTTATTTTTACATTATCAGTTTGGCAGCCCCAATTAACCACACAACCAAAGCTGAATTTGTACAGAGAATTGCTTGAAATATTGACAGGGTATGTGAATCAATTTTCAGACTTGCAGAGTGAGAAAATCTAGAATCTCCCTCTTCCCTCAAGAAAAAATTTAGTAATTCCATTTTCTTCCACGTAAGCTCATGCTTATTGATATCTAACGAACTGACGCGCTCCTTTCGTTATTTTTTTAATTAATTACCATTTGTCGTCGGTGTTTAATTAGTCACCCCTGGGTGGTAATTCCCAGGTCAAAACCTAATTTAAAGTAATCGATAATTTGGGGTTTTCTTTTTACGTCGGCTAGCTCAGTATCAAAAAGGTTAGTTAGTTTTCGTTACATGTCTGATGTTTTGTGTAAAGTATCCTTATACATAGTCAAGTAGAAATCGTCATGTCTGCCAGCCAGGGACCCGGACCCAAATGATTCTGTTCTGTTTATATTTAAGCCAAAATATTTATAACGGTTCCGGTTTAAAAAAAATAACGGTTCGGTTCTCGGTTTTTTTTTCGGTCCAAAACCGTTCTTTTCGGTTCTAGTCTTTTAGAAGTATAGCATTCAAAAAGTATTGTTTTTTATTCTTATTTTCTAAAACCTTTTTATGTTTATTATACAATAGTGGCTAAACTACCGCCACCGCGTGCTTCTTCAACTTTCAATAACCTGTTAAGAACCATAAAAACCCGAAAAGAACCGAAAAAAATAATAAGTTTCTATTTCTGAAGGAACAACGGTTTAGGTTCAGTTTGCGGCCCTGAAAAAAATACCTGTTTTCGGTACAACTTATCAAGAAATCTTTTTTTGTATTTAACATTTTTCGCTATGGTGGTTACTTTTCGAGAAATGTGGAAATGTAGAAAAAATTATAAAATAAATAATTTAACTTTTCAATTTACAATTTCTCAAAAGCTGAGAAACACAAAAAAACTGTAATGGAATTTTTTGTCATATTAGCCAGTGTACCTATGATCAAAAAATTACAAAAATTCGTTTTAATTCGTTATGGCCCTTTTAAATTTTTGACACCCTCAAAAACCCTGAAGATGGTAATGAACATAAAGCAAAATAGGACGTTTGCAATTCCCAAAATTTTTTACAAAATCGGTTCTCGGTGTTTTTGAGTTATCGTGTTCACAAAAAAACGTACCATATACATACACATCCAAACACATAGATGTCAAGCTAAAAATAACTTTTTTAGGATCACAGGCTCCAAAACGTCCATGAAATGCAAATTTAGTTATTTATTTATTTAATTGCAACAGCAATAATGTCTATTACAGGAATTATCAATGTAAAAATGCACATAATATAAAGTATATACATTTTGGTACAAATATATAGATATTTTAAGAAATTAATGTCAATACAAGTGAATTTGATATAACTATAAATCTTAATAGTTATTTTTACATTATGACCGCAACTAATTAATAAGGATTGAACGTAAGCGAGTTTTATATTGGGGAAAAGGTGAAAATAAATCATATCAATAATTAAAAATCTTAAATTTTTACCACGCCTTTTTAAGTTTATTAATCTCATAATCTTGTAAATACGTCGAGGCCTGATTTCTTTTCATTCTTGCAAGGTTTCTAAAATAATGTCCTTTGGGTTCAGATTGTATCAACAGCAAAAACGAGAACCCGTTCAGGTAATGAGGTTTTGTCTCCTATTTTTGGTCTCAATTTCTCTTTTTTGCACCTTGTATTATACTGTACTTGGTACTTCGTAATATCCTGTGGTATTCCCAAGTATATTTAAGTATTTTAGAATAGTCTATTGGTTGCTTTCAGTACCCGTCCACTCTTTTTGCGCAACATAAGGATGCCATAGAAAATACCTTCCAACCTTCCAAAGAAACAAAGGAAATATTGTAGAAATCCACACTCCTGTTACCATTGATGGAACAAAAACACAAGGAAAAGATCACTCTTTATTCAGGGCGATTCACTTAACCCGTTCGTTAGTAGTTTTTAAATTTGCAGTTGAAATAGAAACTTAAACAGTCATAATCGACCATTGTGAATTTAAATAAAACAGTTTCAAGATGGCGCCACTTCAGCAAATTAATACCGAAAGTGCAAGGGAGATGCACGGGCCGATTTAAAAATTCATATCTCTTATAAACCGTTCAAGATAGGTGAATGTTTTATTTTGTACCTGAATCCTTATAAAGTCTAAGGATTTTTTTTAGTTACCGCCGAAAATTTTGAAAAAGTTTGTAGCAATCAACATAATGTCAAAAACTACTATTTTGGATGCCTATATGCGGTAGTTTTTAAGTTACTGGCATAACAAGACAACACAATGCGGATAATGATCCATAGCGAAAATGGGCTCCATTAATTTGACACTTGATTTGAAGAACATTCTAAATAAAACGCTTGTTTCCAAAGCCCTATTACACCCAATGAAAGATAACAATGTTTCTTTAAAAAAATGTCCGTAACTCAATAAGTACCGGGTATAGGGATACAGAATTTTAATAAAACTGACCCTAAAATTGAAATGTACATCCATTTGTAGCATCAAAAATAATGTTGCAACTTAAAAAACTGAAGTTTTTGACATTTTTCTATTTATAATTGTTTATTGCTACTTTTTCAAGACTTTCTCATTATTACTATTTTGAACAATGTAAGAGATACAAAGAGATGAGTTTGTGCTCAAATTATTGAAATATTACGGTTATTAAGTCTACACGTTTCAACCCTTAAATGAAGCTAATGCAATTTGTGCACATTATGTCTGAAATTATTCGATTCTCCAAGATTTCCGATTGATATTCAAACTACATTTTTCAACCCTTAAAACCCATAAAATTTGTGCGCAAAACCTCATTTTTTCTGAAATGGTTTTTACACCAAATTTTTTCTCTCATATTAATGACTTTTAGCCGTTTCTCCTGGATAACTGTAACAGGGGCAGTTTAGGTCAAGTGAGAGGGTAGTTAGTGGGCAAATTTCTTGAATATTAAATCCACATTTTTCAGCTTTTCATTAAATCCAATAAAATTTGTGCACATTGCATCGTTTTTTATGAAATATTTCTACACATTTTTAGGCCATTTAGTCCCAGTGAGTTCTAATATTTATCGCACGCACGTTAGTAAAGGAGGTACTACACTAAAAATGATTCGAAAATGAGAGTCGGTCTTTCTGCCTGTACTCTCATTTCCAGCTAAACGGCTGAACCGATTGGAACCAAATTTGGCACACGTATTCTTAGACATAAAAGGAAATAACTGAAAAGCTTTAGAAAATAACGCCCTTGCGGGTGGTATTTGTGCTAGCGATCCTCAACTAAAGCTAAGGATTGTACACAACGCTTCATTGTTCTAAAATAGTTACTAAATTTACTCCTTGTCCTTAGATAAACTGAGGAGACCCGGTTTAGTCCCACTAAATGGCGTTTTTCTGGAATTATAATTAAACCTAGGCGTTTTCCTTCGATAAACGTAGTAGGGCGGTTTAGTTCAAATGATGGGTGCTTGGGCTCACATTTTTTTTTAATATTGTGCTTTTCAACCCTTAAATAAAGCTAATAAAATTTTTCCACAACGCTGCTTCTATTCTGAAATAACTGATCTTGAAAATTCGAAAATTCAGAAGACAGCTTATCTGCCAATAATAATAATTAAAACTTATTAGTGCTATAACTATATACAGAGTGGCTAATAAAGATGGAACCAAAGCGCCGGTGTGAAAACGGTTGGAGATATCGGTTTGAAAGTTTTAGGACTTACATAAGATGTGTTTGTGCACATTCTAGTCATGAAAAGACAATTTTAGTTCTGTGTGGTTTTTGACACGGCTGCGAATGTCTTTGGTTTCGCATTTTACTTCTGAAAATGAATTATTTCAATAGATTTGCTACCAATGGGCCTCCCTTGGAGCAACCAGTATCATTTCAGGAATGTTAAATTGCTTGAAGGCCGTAAATATTTTAAAATGATCCCTAATAATAGTTTCAAAAACAGGAAAATGCGAAAATTTATTTCACTGTGACAGAGTCTACTGGGTTACCAGATCCAAAAATAAGTTTTTCTGGCAAAATCCCTGCCCATTTCGGCAAAAAGTATATTTTTCTCTTTTCTTAAAATTCCTGACAAATTTTCCCTGTTTCTCTGACAGACAGCTAAAATTCCGCTCATGTCAGTAAAATTCCTGTTATCTGGTAACCCTAACTGGGATTCGATTCGGGCCCCCTTTTCACCGATTTGGGTAACGTATTCGATATAAAATGTTATACACAAATTGCAATTTAATTAGCATATTAGCTTATATACAGCGTGTTTCTAAATATGATGTAAATACGGAAGGGGCTAATTTTTTGGCTTATTTTATGACTAAAAGTTCATATAAACGTAGGTCCGCAAACGCTTCTTTACCGATGTGGGTGTTAAAATTTCAAGATTTTTTAAGTTTTTTCCTTACATCTTTTGTAGCTTTTGAGATATTTTGCAGTGGGCGCTATTTCTGACAGATTCCAAGAAAATTGTCAAAATGATTTACATATTGCCAAAATACTTTAGATCAAGGACAATTTTAATTTTAATGGTATTAAAGAATAGCTAATGGTTTTAAGGAAATTGTACAGATATTTTCGAATAAATATTCTAGGATAGATAGCTGAGGGATTTCCAAAAAATGCAAAGAAAATTTCATAAAATTTGAAGATTTATAAATATAATAAACCTTCAACATTACCTACAAAGCATTTTCTAAATAATTCAGCGAGCTGGTCATAAATTAATAATAATTTCTGATTTAATTCGATTTTGTAAATGCAGTGGAATTGAAAGCAATTATAAATAAATTGTAATTGTGAATTGTAAAAAGGGAAATATTTATTATTGCATAAGAAACAGAAATTTTATACAAAACATGCCAAACATTTTTGAAATTTACTTTTCAAGCTTAGTAGAAGTATCTTCCGTAAGGGTAGGCAGAGTAAGCTCCACGATAAGGATAACCAGCATAACCGCTGTACGCGCTGTATCCCAAGGAGTAGGGATAGGCACCATAGTACTGGGGTTTCGCTTCTGGTTCGGGTTCAGCCATGCTGAGGGCGAAGAGAGCGACGAACAATAACACCTAAACAGATTAACAAATTAAAATTAAGTAAGAAAAAGCTATTGAGGTACTTACGAATTTGAACATTTTGGATGGTTTCGTTTGCTTTCAAAGTAAACTATGCCAGTTGATCTAATTCGGTCGCATTTTATACCATCTCGCCGAAATGATATACACACCCGTTTGCCTTCGATACATAAACAATAGAAAATTAGCATTAACAAACCTGATACAGCTAATTAATCACCGATTCCGTTTTCACATAAATATAGTCCTATTTTAAATACACGTCTTATCGCTGTTACGGAATTAGTATTAGACGTGGCTGTTGCCACAATTGACGATACATTACTTAGCGCTAGTTCACTAATGACCTTTTTACACAATTGTCATGACATGTAAGCAAGCCGTCACTTACAATATACTTACTAAGTAAATCCTGTGTCATCCTTATTTATAATTGTCGCCCTATAATTAACAATCGCGTTCTTCCTACAGCATTACTGGTACCTAAGTAATTAGAGAGTAACTTTGGTAACGTATGAAAATCGGACCAATTTTTGAGGTACAAACGATAAAGTAAGCTATAAAAAGAATCAATAGGTTGGATTGAATTCAATGAAATTTATTATGGAATTTTACAAGGGATGGCCAAACAATCGGGGGACACACTGTATATCCCTAGCATGCCTATTAAGTTGGCCTTAAGTTTTCTGTATTGTTTTTAGAATTTAATTTTTTCGAGGACGAAAGTCACTTTTGACATAAAACAATATTTTTTCTGAAACTATTTTAGAAAAACAACTACCTTCGTCTTTAAAAAGGGTGAAGAAAATGTAATTTTCCACTTTAGTAAGGAAAGTAAAAAACAATTGCTGCGTTACTCTCAATAACGACATTTAAAATTGAAACATACCCCGTATCTAGAATGCTGTGTTAAACTCGATTATTGCATACGATAATTTTTCAATTTTGATTGCAGTTTCGGAAAAAAAATTGTGTAAAACTTGAGAAGAAAGTGTTTTTCAACTCTCATTCAATTCAAAACTTTGAACTCGAGTTGGAAAACTCCACTTTCTTCTCTAGTTGTACAAATAACTATTCAACTGTATTTTTTTGGGAAATCCGAAACACTGTTACTTAAAAAAAACTGTTAAAAAAAGAATATAATGCCCGTGCAGCAAATTTGAAGCCCATAGGGACACTGCGAGATTTTGATTAAAATATTTAATGTAAGTAAATTAAGGATTTCAATATCGACTTACTCAAATTTGCTACACGGTCTTTACATTCTATTTTGAACATAAAAAACACTTTTTTGGATTTCCTCAAGAAAACCAGTTAAAAAATAAAAACATCAAAAAATCATAGAAGACCTAGGACTTGTTGCATTTTTACTCAGTTTTTCTTTCTGAACAACTTTCCTTTATAACATCTATGCGTATATCGGCCCTAAAAACACTTAAATTACTAATATGGTATGCTTTTTGAACTTTTCAAAGGCACCCTTGATTTTTCGCAATTAAAATTATATTATAAATTAGTTTCCAAGCAGAACAGATCCGCAGAAGCTCAAAATTCAATATGGTATTTTACAAGGGGCGGCCAAATAATCGGGAGACACACTGTATATAACTAGTATGCCTATTAAGCTGGGCTAATGTTGGGGATCTAAATGTAACTTATACTGACCTTTTGCTTTAGTGTTCTTAGAAAAATGGTGTATTATTTTGGGGTGTAAATGATCCGGTCCAAATTAATTTTGTATTATCTCAAGGAATTACTGTAAAATTTCTGTAGAAAGGGGAACAAAACGAACATTGGTGGAGCTATTAGTGAATTTTTAATTGATAGTTGGCATTGATTTAACAAAACCATTAGGAAACAAATGCTACACAAATATATATGACGTTTATAATAATAAACGTGTTCTACTAATACAATCATAGTATAAAATCATTTTTCCAAAATTTAATTAATCGTCCTGCTGGATTTGCACCTACACTACGTGCCGATTCGGTAAGTGGTGTTAATATTTTTTTAGTATTTTTTTTTATTTTTGACACAGTGGCAATTGTCTTTGATAGTTTTTTTTTAACTAAACGCCCACTAATAATTAAAAACCTTTCGTTTCGTCCCACCCAAATTTTTTAGTGTACATCGGTGGAGCTGCGAGATTTGGCAGAATTTCGGAGTACTTTCTATAAATTTTGCGAACCGCTGTTATATAAGTGTGATTGAAATTTCGGATTCGTATAAAGTTGAGAGAATATTTTAGGTCCAATTAGCTCCTGTACATCAAATATCTATTGGCATTAGGTTTACCGAGTAGTTCCCGTCTTTGTTTTACTCTTGTTTCGCTATTGCATGCAAATGGAATGCACATAATTGAACTACTTTATGGGCATGACATTTATTAGACTGTTAAAACTATTATCAAAAAACAGATTTCCGCCTTTGTTTAAGTGTAACATTTAACATAATGCGAGTTAAATGTCATTTATTAACTGCGCCTTTTAATTCAATCTAGAAAAACCTGAATATCTCAAGAGCAATATTTACCAGAAGTCGATTCGTCAATTTATGGCAGAATGCATGAAATACTACTATAGAATTTAATCCTCCTCCGTGAATAGTAAACGACAATGAAATATTTCATTACGCTAAAGTATATTAATTATGGTTTAAGTGGCTGAAAACGAATTTGGTTGGAGTAACAAATTTTTCGGACAAAGACATGTGGAAATGCGCTTTTTGGAAATCGTTTACTTTTTTAACTTGTTATTTAATGCTGGCCTAAAATCAAATTAAAACTGAAGCGATCCATTGCGTAATCTGTCTTTCTGGTAAAACAAAATAGTTACCCAAACCGAAATTATGCATGGTATCACGGCACCACATTCTGGTATACCATTTTTCATTAAATGGTTTTGTCCAAGGTTCTGTTTCGAAAGAAAAAGGTCTCACTGGATCTACTTCTCGTGGGTAAATCTTAAAAGTTTTCAAAGGGCAGAGTTGGAATTGATTTCTCGTATTGCTTCAGTTTTAGTTGTACATTTACATACGTGGCGGTGTAATTCTTGGCATTTTAGAAGTCTCTTGGCCTTCCATAGTGTGGTCAAGCGGGTTATCCCCTATAGAAGTGGTAGACGGCAAAGGCACTGAATCAAGGGGGAACAACAAAGGGTTGGAGTTTCATTTATGAATATTTTGACTAATTTCGATTGCTTTTTAATTAAAGTATGCCAGTTGATCTTTGCATTTATACGATTTTGGTGTTTATCTTCGACATTGTTCCATTAGATAATGGAGAATTTGAATATCCATATTTAATTAGTTTCTCGTGGCTCCCACTATGAATAATATACATACTTACCTAATGGTTTGTTTCATGTATAATTAATTTGTACTTTGCTTGGACATTGTTAGGGGTATACTGACAGTACAAATTGGCGAATACGCACAGTACCAAACTGCTAGTATTGGAGACATCCATTTTGTTGTTTTTTAAATTTTATCCTGCTTCGGAAGTTATATTTTTTGAAGGTTTGTAGATACTGTACGATATCATTCTAGGGCTTTTCCAGAGGTTTCTGTCTTGCCTAGTACCCGGAAACACCCAAGGAGTTTCTGAAAGAGCCCTAAAGATTTTAAAAGGGGATAGAGGGCCCTGTCGTTTCAACGTCTTACGGGGTGGTTGAATAACTTCTATGTTTCCATCAGCGCCTTAGGCCTTACCTTAACTTTTCCCAGAGCTTTTCAAATCTTGATTGACCATTTTTATGGTATCCAAAATTATAAAAAGTTTGCTACCAATCTAGGTACTTTAAATGCAGATAATCAGTGGCGTACTTCAGCATGGTCAAGGGGGGCATATTTTTTTATAAACCAGGACAGTTTATTACGTCTGCTTAAAGTGCACACCTTTTATGCTGCTGTATCAAAAAAGTGTAGTCTTTAATAGTAATACTATGTAATGAAAACTAGTAGATGTCATGAGACGCAAATATTCCCCCTTAACCACGCTGAAGCACGCCACTGACCACACATTTAAAGTACCTAGCAAACTTGTTCTAGTTTTGAATGCCATAAAAAGCTTCTTTAAAGAAATGTTGTTTTGAAGATATATTCAGCGTTTCAGACAATATTTCCACCCTGTATATAAAGATATGTGATGATAAGTTTTATGTACTGATCTCTTGGCTATTGCTACTGAGCAACAGTAATAACACTAATAGGCTAGTCAAAATCGACACAAAAAATCACTAAAGACGCCAAACTCCGATTGTTTGGTATGTTATTTGGAGCTACAGTGTATACCCAAGTTTGCAACTCTCAAGCCATTTGAAATGTAACATATTTTAACGTGTTTGTGATGTCCAATTAATGCCAAAAAATGGAGACGACCGCCATTTTGTACGCCTACAGCATTGTTAGCTTGGAGACGTGTTTAGTACGCAGAATTTGGGTCCACTGATGAAGGATAGCGTTTTGCGTCCGAAATTTGGTCTTCCGGATAAAAAAATACTGAACGAAGCTTGAACTTTTGGGCCTATTCGCCCTACCAACCTTCACCAATATATTATACTGTATTGAGTAGCATTTTTAATTAGGAATACAACTATGTACGACACACAAAGAAAAAAACAAAAGTTGGAGACTGTTGGTTTCCACGGCATCCACCTGCAACGCCCTCATTGTGTGAGAATACCTATCGAACAAATTTTCCACATTCCAGGAAGGTTATCCGATAGGTATTTTCGCACGATTTGGGGGCTGTGCGCGGGTGCACCATCCTGTTGGAACCAACCGGTTCCAACGTTTGGTTTTTCTTTGTGTTCTGTTTCGTTGTATGAAAAAAATAAAAACGAAATCGGCGAAAAATCCATAGTTTAGTTTTAGGAGACAAAAACTGAACAAAATGCGAACATTTCGCGGTTTTTCGTGTGCTACACTTTTTCTTTTTTCACTTTTAGAGAGTTGCAAAATTGGGTATACAAACACTACCCTAATCGGTCCAAACAATATACTACAAAATCAGAGATGCATCATGTGTTGTTTATTTATTGTCGACTTCGACTGACTGAAATTAATTTTAAGTTCAGTGTTGCATACTAGGGAATATCACGAACCTTCGCACTTTATTATAATTCATCAACACAGAACTGATCAGATATAGAAATTTGTACAATTGTTACATCAGATGGGTAAAGTTATATAAAGCAGAGTGTCCTGCAATAGTCAGTTTATTGCGTATAGTGCTCAGGGTGTATTTCAGTGCGAAAAAAGTGAGTGAGTAGCATGGATTCGAACGGAATAAATTTTATTGTTATTTAAAAGCTTAGTTAAATCTCAGTGAAATTCGTCCGTCCGTCGAAAAACGAATAAACATTATTACTTATTATTATTTAAAAAAATGTGGAAATTCTTCTACTTATTGTTCTAAAAGGAAAATAGGAAATACGTGTATCTCCAAGCAATTATTTGATGTAAATCAAAATGAAAATAATTTCCAAAAAGTGCAAAATAAAACTAGAAGAAACACAGACAACCTCTGAACCAGAACCCCATTACATTATTAAAATATCGTCTCACATCCACTTCGCCTACAAAAGTTATACCTAAAAATAGAAATATGACAATTACCTTCGTTTTTCCAATATGCGGAATTTGTTGAACAACGAGATTTTTGCGATAGGCGTGGTGATTGTTTTGGGAAAGAATCCGGTCGAAATTAGCATGCTATGCTAATTTCTACCACTTACAATTTTCAATCATTACCGTAACTCGTTTGACACATGCCCATATCGGAAGTCATTTGAGCAGTTTTATGAAATATTTATCACAAAATTGATACGCGTGCAGGTATTGTTTGGCTTTTCGAAGGTTGACAGAGGTGTGGTGGATTTCGAAATTGGTATAAATGCTGCCCAATTTCGTACCACATTCATAGTTTACTTGCAAAGCAAACGAAACCAAGCAACATGTTCAAATTGGTAAGACATCTTCCTTTGTGTTATTGTTTTTGTTAATTCTGCTCGTTTATAGTTCATCTTATTCGCCGCCCTCTTCGCCCTCACCATGGCCGCCCCGGAACCCGAGGCGAAACCTGTGTACTATGGGGCGTACCCGTACTCCTTAGGTTACAGCGCTTACAGCGGATACGCTGGCTACCCCTATTATGGAGCTCATGCTGGATACCCATACTACGGAGGTTACCTCTATTAGAATTTAAACGAATTAGTACCTATGTTTCAAAAAATTCTAATAAAATGTTATTGTTCGTAATAATTTAGTTCTACTTCATATGGGTCTGTAGCTATCTTCAATTCAGTAACTTTTAAGAAAGACTACGTCAGGCAATTTGGGGAATATAATAGGCTGCTTATTTTGGAGAAACGACAAATGGAAGCCTACTAAAGATAAAGAAAAAATGGCACCTGACTTTAAGCATGCACGTGAAGTTTATTAGTGATCTCGAATATAAAAACGGTCGCAGGGCTAGTGCGAATAGTTTAGGATAGTTAAGCAGTAAACATACACAACGTCTCGCAAAGGGTGGGAGAGATAGGTCGATTAAATAAATTAAATAAAAATTTTTCTAATTTTTTCGAAAACGAATCGCCGATTTTTAAAAGTCAAACGTCAGAATAAAGGACTTCGAAAGACCTTTCAACCACGCTAATACTCGATACCAGTTGTCATTTAAAATCTCTCTGAGGACAGAGAGTGAAAGGGGGTGAAGTATTTTTTGGTTAAAAAGTTGTCCCCCTTGACGAATTTTTTGGCGTTTTTTCCTTTAATCAGTTGTTTTCGATAAGTTCGTAGTGGGAAGTTTTTAAATGAGCACCCTGTATAGTAAAAATCAAATATACGCATGCCCAGACGCGCAATGTCAACTTTCTTACTTCTAAAGATACTTTTTGCTACTATAGATGTTTCTAGGGTGTGCGGTAAATTCGCCCCGTACGACTCGCCCCGGTAAATTCGCCCCCGGAATATTCGCGCCCAAGGAAACTCCCACCAAAGTAAAATCGCCGCCGGAAAATTCGCCCCCAACAAGTACGCTTCCGGAAGATTCACTCCGGAAAATTCGCCTTCGACAAATTCGCCCCTGGAAGATTCGGTCCTGCAGGATTCGCCCCATAAGATCTATTAACCCTCGGAAGTAATAGCATTAAATTGAGTAATAGGTTAGTTGGTGATATTCTGATCCCGTGGAGGTAATTAAACTTTTTAACATTATCCGAAAAGTAGTTACGTACAAGGGCGGACTGGCACGGGGGGGGGGGGGGGGGGGGGGGGTGGCGATTGCCACCTGGCCTGTAGATCATAATGGCCCGTTGGAAATTTATAAGTATGTGCTGTATTTAGTTTCTTGCACTATTAATAAATTATTAACACGTTTCTCTAATTGGGGTTGATGTTAGGTTGTTAAAAAATTAAAAAATTCTGTTTTAATTGAAGTGTTTTACAATGAATTTATCATTTTTTGTCATAGCATGAAAGTGCTGAAATACAATGATAGGCGACGCACCTCGTGTGGATTGTATATTTTGTTACTTTTAATTATCAGCTGCAATTTAAAAAAAACTGTATGGTAATTTATTTTCGAGAAAGGAGTACTTTAAAATGATTTTGTGGTGCACCTCAGAGCTAACCCCCCCTCCCCCCCGCCACCATCATTACTTCACTAATACTTTAATGGCCCGTAACCTATGCAATTCCACCTGGCCCGCAGTTACCCAGTCCGCCCCTGGTTACGTAGTTTTTCGTGTTGTTATTGTATCACGGTCTAATGGAATTTACCAAAGAAAACGTTTGGTTGGCCTAGAGGAGCTAGAAACTTAAAAACAGTGCGTTAATGGAGCTCATTATTAAACCGCAAACAATTGACAACGGTGCGGTAATGAAATAATAGAAGTCATTAAGTCATTGTGAATACAGGATTTATTTCCTTTCCTTTGCAAATCTTCCTTACTTTATTCAACCTTATCTTAATTACCTATTCATATTTTAGTTAACAGGTATTTGAGTGCTTTTATTCTACTCCGTTTATGTAGGTATATACATTTATTACAAAAATATTAAAGTTAAGGCGGCTAGGGACAGGCCATTCAAAATTTAAGCTGCGCCTACGCAAATAATTATATAGGCAACCAATCGTGCAATTCGACAAGTTTCACCAGGCATAAGCTACCTGCAAATGACCTCATTTTCCTACAATAAAACCAGATTCCAGACCCTCATTAGCGGCTATTCAACAAAAGTAACTGATTTATGGAATTTCAACTTTCTCCTGATGTTTTACAGTTTTACTAATACTGGAAACCTTTGAATATAGAATAGGAAATCAAAGCTGAAAGCTCTACATACCTATACCGGGTGGTGCCTAGCACGACGCAGCATAGGGATTTCAATGGTAATTCCTTTATAGCCAATTACTAGCTCCCCTAATTATTTTAGAGCAAAAGTCTAAATAGGTTTTTTTCAGAGAAAAAAATACTGCATCTGTTCATACGATTACTTATGATTTTCCGTTTTTCAAAACCGTAGAAATCCACAAAAAAAATTAGATTTTTATAAATCAGTGATGCTTTGGAATTTTTTAACAAACTACAAGCGCATCGCATCTAAGTTATCGTTGTTTGACGTCGAACGATTTTCATATTTAATTCTGTTCCAACTATCCGACGGAAGAAAAAGCGTCTGTGGAGTAATGTTTTTTTAGAGAATGTAATGCTGCATCTGCAACAGATACTATTTGTGTATCATTTTCCGGAACCAGAGTACATAATCGAAGAAAAAGAAATTGATTTGCGGAAAAATTGTTCTTAAAGGTATATTCGGCGAGCATAAAACAACTTCAACATTTCCTCTTTCTCTTCATTTAAATACATGATAAACAATTTTATGATTAACTAATTTATAAACAAGTATAAATTTATTTAATACACGTCAAAATAATGAAAAGTTATCGCTGTTTTTTTAGTTTATTCCAAGGCATATCTGATTTATTGTAAAATGAACCTTTTTATTTTGTCGATTTCTACGGTTTTGGAAAACGGAAAATTATGAGTAATAGTATGAACAGATGCAGTATTTTTTTTGTCTGAAAAAAACATATTTGGACTTTTGCTTTAAAATAATTAGGGGAGCTAGTAATTGGCTATAAAGGAATTACCATTGAAATCCCTATGCTGCGTCGCGCTAGGCACCACCCTGTATAAAAATATTACTAATGTATTACTTTCTAAGATATCATTCCTACTTACTTCCTATATAGGGATTTACAATAATGACTTTTTGAGATTTGGACTTGGGTAATGAAGGGAACAATTTCCGAAACAAGAAAAACTGGTCTTCAATTTTTGTGGTTCATAGCACAGATTTATTTAAACAATTATCACATCCGATCAAACTACGGTCCCATAGATTTCTAAATTTATATGATAACGATTTTCACAGGTGCGCGGATGTAAGAATGGCGTTTTTCTTCAATTAGATGAACAGTTTTCGATATTTCGCATGGCTTCCGCAATGTAGCCTGGTATTTGCTGCGTTTTCAACCTTCCCCCATTTATCTAATTATATATCTGAATTCTGATCTAATTTACAACAAAATAAATGACTCATTGTTCATTACAAAAAATGTTTTAATAGATTTTCGGAAATTTTCCAATTCCAACACGACATTCGCCTGATGGTTTACGAAATTAGTTTGTTTGGCTAGCCGTCAAACCTACAGTGGAATTATCAAAAGCACAGGTAGATTAAACAATTATCAAAGTCCTCGTGTGGGATCGAAGAGAGATCAGCGCATTTTTGTGGGGCACATCAGTATTGTATTAGCCACCATCAAAAAGATCTTATCGCAAGCTAACACAATCCCTTTGTCGGTACCCGCTTCCGACGTCCCGTTCGCCCACAATTCGCGCATTTAAATGAATTTTGCTAAAAACTCTCCACAAAATAGTTCTCAATTTTTGGGGCACTTCTCATAGCTCTAGTACATTAAGGGCGAAGTTCAGCACTGCGGCAATGCCACAGTCTGCTCTTCCACTTAACCCCATGCTCTTCCACTTAACCCAGATGAAGATACCTTTTGGGCGCCCTAAGTCAACCACCCCTCGCAGACGTGCGCCTTGTAAAATGAGGTTAATTTCGTACCTAGGAAAAAAATTAATTTTCTCCACGCAGTTGTTGTGTCCGTTTACAAGATCGTTCCAACGGCACCATTTTGAAAACAATCTGAAAACTGATGGTGAGTAAAAACTTCAAACTCGAATTGCGGGTGAGCGAGACGTCGAAAGTGGGTACCGAGAAAGGGAATGTGGTGGCCCCCGCCAAGATCTTACTGATGGTGGAGTAAAACTTCAAACGCAAATTGGGGATGCACGGGACGTCGGACGCGAGTACCGACGAAGGGAATGTGGTAGCTTCGACAAGATCTCACACGAGGACTTTGACAATTTTTTACTAACGACATGCTGAAATAAAAAATTATCACTTGTAATACTACTAGTGCTTGCTATTTCCGGAAACTTTTCGAGCTCACAAATATTTGAACTTTCGCAAAATACTCGTGAGCAAGAAAAAAATTCTATTCAAGCACTGTGGTATTCGGTAAGAAAATTTCACACCATAGTAACCCTCAACGAAAAAGTGACGTTTTATGTCAAAACATTATTACCTTTTTACGTCAAAAAATTTACGATAAATTCCTTGGTTGCCATGGAAATGTGACACGAAATCCGCATTTCATTGGTCTATAAAATTGCTGGTTGAAATTTTCGTTGAGATTTGTCACCTAAAGTAGGTATGTAATGTAAGACACAAGATTATCAATTTTTGTATGAACAGTTTTTTTAACAGAGCTGCTAGATTCAAGAAGGTGCCGACAACAAACAATTCTTTATGTTTATCTATTATAGGTACATCGTCCAAATTGTACATAATTTTTATGTAATCGATATTATTAAATTGCTTTTTGATAAGTAGGTAACAATACACCTACATCAAATATATGAAAACAAGTTGTAAATCAGCATATGCATGATTAAAGCGCATTTTTGGTAATGCAGGTCAGTATTTTATTAGCGAAGTTTAAAATTATCGATCTCACGAGTAATTTTGGCTGCGTTAAATAATTAATTTTATTTAATTTCAATTGACGGTACGTCTTCATTTTGTAAAACAAATCACAAAGTAAATAATAAGTTTTTATACTAGTAGCGCTATCTAACGGTAAAATTATAGCACCTCAGAAACCCATATCGAAATTATTTTCT